TACAACAATCAAGTTCTCCCCATTTCTTCATAATCTTTTGCGTTCGATCGATCAGAAGAACGCGTCCCTTAATTTGCTACGGATCTGCCGAATGCCGAGTTTTCATTAATTATTTCCGGATCTGCGATCGAATCGATGATTACGTCGAATTCCACCAGTTCGCGCAAATACGCCGGGAATTGGCGCGACGAGTAATTACGAGAATAAACGCGAATAAACGCGAGAGAAGCCGGTGTCGCTTATAATTAAACGCATTCCTCTCTTTTTCGGTTCCCTTTCATGTCGAAATAAAATTTGCAAGAACCTCTCAAGCGCGCGAATTTGCATTCAGCCGCGTAATGCGTTATCTTGGGTTATCGGCGCGATAAACTTGCGCGTTTACGTCCTACATCCTACTGTAAAATAAGCGGCGACGGCTTTATTTACCGAACGCTGAAATATGATGCTTTTAATGAAATTCTACCCGGAGTTGTGGTGGTCAAAACCCGAGCGATCGTCGGACAAATGCATTACTGCAAGTTCATTGTATACCTGTTTGATTTGCTTTCGAGCAGAATTATTTCGCAATTAGTATTGTTCTGACGCAACAGCACACAGATAATAAAATCGAATTGTAAAGATTCTTTAATTTTGCGTTAAAAAAAAATCGTTTTTGTCATTATTTTCAAGCAATTCTTAAATTGTCTCCTTTAATTTTTAATTTTTAAACAAATTTTTACACGTATCATTTGACTTTAAACAATTGTCTGACATTGTGTGTTTTTATGTTTATTGATTTTTTGCGGGATCTTTGACTCCGAAACTTGAACGATGAAAACATCCGACTTGAATGTTCGAATTTCGATACGTCGGGAGGTACACGAGAACGCGGGGATTAACCGATCGACCGATCAAGCTATCAGAATCGGTGATACGAAAAGCCGGGATCTCCATCAAACTGATAACGTACATTCGCGTAATGCGTCGGCAGCGAGGCGCGGAGGCCAGGAGGTAGACTCGAGGGGAACGGTGGGGGTTGCAAAAGGATAGGTGCTGCAAGGTAAACGATATTTGCGTGGCTGGAAGATCGATAGCAATTTAGCCACCCTTCGCTGTTCCGAACGAACACCTCATGGTGGCGGTGGTGGCGCACAGCCACATCATCTCCCGTCCCTCTTTCTTCCCCACGCAGGTACGTCCACCATCATCGCCGCTTCCTTCTACCCGACAGCATTTTCCCTTCGTTCGTTCTTCCCCTCATGCAACCCCCGTAAAGTTGGCCTAGTCAGGACTCATCCATATACATCGAGAAAATTAATATCTGGGCTTCTCTCGTCGAGTTCGTTCGCGCGCGCCGTGAATAAACCTGGTTGCGCCACCCCGGGTTTCCACCCTCCGCGCTCTTCCGGTGTCTCTCTTCCGTTCTTTTCTCGCGCCGGCAGCGATCAACGTCGTACGAGCTTCCTCTTCTCGTTCCGTCGTCGCTTTTTCGCGCGCCGCGCAAAAGGCTCTCAGGCCGACGTCGTTTAACGTCGGTTAAATAAATTTTCCTTTGTTATTTTGGTATTTTATGAAACGTTATCTATTACAGGAAAATTGTGTTGTTACGATATAATTGTCTCTAACACCTTTCTCTGCCGTTACACGTATCTATAACTTGAATATAAGATTTGTTTTTTTATAAGCGCTCATTATCGCGCTACGTAGAAAGCGTTTATTTATAATACGCATCGCTAATAAACGTGTTGATAACGGCGATAAGAAAATTGCATTTTTCTTCTTTTTCTTTACCTTTTTCTTCCGAAAGACCTTGTGTGCAACCGCCATTTTCCATTACGCGCGCCGCGTAATCTTTCCTTTATTACGGCGCAAAAGGCCGCCGTATAATACTTCGTTTTCTTCGAAGATAAATGTATTGCTACGATGATTAATACGTGTAAAGAAAGGGAACAAAAATTTTGTTCGAGCTTACAAGTTGCGCGCAGCTGTTTCTATTCTGTTCCGTAGAATACTGTAGTGCCGGGTGTGCAGTATCTATTTGTTCTACGGATCGCGATTTCTCTCATAGAACATTAGAAATTATTCTTCAAAATTCTCCTGAAAAAAAAACAAGCTGATTTTTCTGGAAGCGTAGTTTAAAAAGAAAAACTTGCTCTTTTTTGAGAAATTTCTCGAATGTCGATAAATAATATCTCGCATCAAACAAGACTTTCAACGCGCGTTTGATTTATACATCAATATCTCATATTTCTCGTGTATTTGTTACGATCCCGATGGCAATCAACCTACTTTGTCATCTCGGAGCGCATCGGTGTTGTAACGTCCAGTGTATAGCCACGCGTGCGCGCGCGCGCGCGCGTACGCGCTGCTTATATTTACATATTTATTTAACTAACCCAACGGCGCGAGCATTAACGCAAACACAAACGGATAATCTGGAATATATTAATCCGCGGCGGGCGCATACCATCGCTTTGAATTAACGCGAATATTCCTGTGTAAGCCGCCGCACGCGCTGCTACGTCGAATCGGACGAGTGCACCACGTCGCATGCATATTGCAAGTATGTTAATGCGCTTTCTCCTCTCGCGTCCCGTGTCTCTCTCTGTCCTTCCCATCGAACCTCGCGGCCCAGCCGTTCACGCAGTGCAGCTGGTTGCGCACTTTAACGACATAAGTTGAGAACTAGGGAGGAGAAATGACGACGCCGCGCGCATTCGCGTCCAAACACAGTAGTATATCGGCATGTCTGCTTGTTTCTCACCCGAGTTGTAGTTAATTCTCGTGGAAGTCGAAATGGATTTGGAATAAATCACATTACGGGACAAATGGTAGGTATATTGCGTTATTGACCCGATTATGTTTAGCAATTATCTCTTGAAGCGTAATATTCTTCGGTCGTGTTCATTTTAATATACAGAATATGTTGATCTTGTAATTTTGTTTTGCGCATTTACTTGAAAGAGGTGTGAGATTCGTTTTATAAATGTAGATATACGTATAAAAAAAAAAATATTTATCGCGATGTACAAGTTCTGTTGATTATGGTAGAAAACAATATTTGTTGACAATGCTATCATTTATCGAGACGAGATCTATATATCGAGACGGCAAACGTCACGATCGAATTGCTGCAACATAGACGATCCGAGAGAATGCGATTTCGCGTTATTATTGAAGCTTATTAAGACATATTAGTTGCCTCCGACAATATTACTCGAGCGGATCAACGTCCGCATTGTGTATCGGTATTTGCGATATATTTTCCGCGAGTCCCGAGATGTGTAAGCCCGATGATGATGAGAGGAAGGATCGAGAGCTATGGACGAGACGGAGCTTCCGTAAGCCGCTTTCGTTCTTACCCCCTCGAGAGATTTAAGTCCCGACTCGCACAGATCAAATTGTCGTCAAATATTTACGGCTGCCGGGGCCATTCGTCGTTGCGGCGCTTCGAGTATGTCGTAATGTCGCCATGTCGTTTCACGAGTTCAAAACGGACGCGCCGAGAGAGGAAGATGTCATGCGAGATGCCATGCTACTCTTGCGTCGTCACGCGCCAAACGCGCTTTTCGAATCATAAGTCGTAAAGTCTTCATCCTTCGAGTCAGTTCTCGAGTTCTCGATTTCTCGTAGAATAGGAAGAGGTTGAAAATAAAACATTGAATTTGATTGCTCGGACGAAGTTCCTCGCGACGTGTTGCTTCGCGTCGGCGACACTTCCGAAGGTGCTGATCGCTCCGAGTGCCTCGCGTTGCTTCGCGGTTCGGCAAACCCACATTTTTTTCTTGAACCTTGGGGTTTCATAAAAAGTCTTAGTGTTTCCAGAGGTCGTTTTTCTTTGTTTTAGTTCTTACATAGTCCGAAGGAAATATATAATATGTATGAATTTTGAATTAAAAAACAATGAAACTTATATTTTGACTATGTCGATAAGAAGATTTAGAAAACTTGTTATAGCTTGTTCGTAGAAATTGTTAGTTGATAAATCTAAGTGACAATACACAATAATTTAATCCAACGGTGAGTCATCTTACGCGATGGAATATTGGTTTGACCGGAATATCGTTAACTACGAAACGGGGGTTGGATGCACTTAATGTAAGTGAGGTTGGCGGGGTATCCTAAAATGCACAAAGTTCGGTGTGCAGCCGTTCTCGTCGTATCGCTGAAACCATCCGGAGTCTCGAGAGATCTCCACTGTTTGCGAGATCTTTCAAGTGCGCTCCAACGTTGTTGCTGTGTAGTGGCGAGATATGCGAAAGATATGCAAGCCACGTTACTCCTGTGCAGTTGAGAAATTCTCGTTTAGTTCGTAGAAGGTAATTTTATCGCGTGTTGATAATGGAGTGAGAATGCAGACAGCGGATAGTTTGAAGTCGGATACACATTCTGAAGAATTATTTTTTGTTACTTTGAAATTTTTTTTCTCTCTGTTTCTCTCAGCACCTGCTAGTGTTGAAGATTTTGAAAAAGAGTAGAATTGTTTAGGCTAAGTAAGTCGTCAAAAAATGTATAAGAATTGCGAATAATATGTATATATATTCTCTCACCAGGTAGAAACCTTCTTCATTGAGAATTCTACAAAGTCGAAATTTAGTCAAGTGCACGCGAAGAACTTTCAAAGTCAATTTTCTTGAAAACGGGGTCTTGCGGAAACAAATATCCTCGTATATTTTCGACTTGGTTTTGCGTGCAGAATGACCTCGTTCTCGGTCACTGCCGAACACTCTGTATAAAAAGCGTAATATTTTTGTGTGTACATATAGCTTATAGAGATTATTTTTGTGACACAAAGCACTTTATTGTGCGCGCAAAGAATCTTGTTATCGCCATTCACCTGTCAATCAGCTAACATCGAGACGTCGAATCAACGTCGACAATGAGCGTTTTAGTCACTTACAAAATATACTTAATCGATCGTGTGCTATTTAATTTTTTATATTTATAACAATTTTTATTTTAAAATGCGAAACACGGCGCGTGTCTAACGTTTTCAAATATTTTAATTTCGTGTGTTTCAGGAAACGGAAACTTAGAATTGTTTGATAGTGAGAGCGGGCCGGACCTCACTCTATCACCTCAAACCTTTACATCAACGGCGGAGGCCTTCATCAATGACAATAGCGACAGTCTCGGGGTTCCAGGAGACAACGACACCGGTGAGTAGCTAAAGTCATTCAGATCAATTAGATAATTGTATCGCGCGTGAAAAGAACTGAAGAACTCTTCTTGCCTTTATCGGAAATTTAATTAGCAATATCAAAACCAGATTTTTGGACATATAAAAAAATATAAAGTCGCGTAAGAATAAAGAACACTAACAAAGTCTTCTATTTTCGTCTACATTTTCAATCCGCGACAAAATTTCGGTTCTGCGCTTTAACGCGACGTCGCTGAAATCGCTGCGGCGCTTAATCCGACTTAGGGCAAGACGAGATGAATCATAGAATAACTTGCGACAATGCAATCCGCGTGACAATGATTTTAACGCGCGCCTTCCCGTAATTCGATTTAATTCAATCTGCGAGAGTGCAAAACGTCGATGGGGCGCCGAGTTGTTAAGCGGCGGAACACGGGACAATGCATTAACGTAATTGTTGCTCTCCTCGTCAGCGGCACGTAGGAACAGCGGTTATAACTAGTTCGAACAAGTCGGGGAAGGGATGCCGTTGTCGCCGCGTGTGCCGCGGCACATAATGCCTATTGTTTCCGACAAGTATAAGGGACCACCACCGTCAGGACAGTCGTGCACAAGTGCAACGCGCGCGCATTGTTTCTTAGGGAAATATTGAGGGACAATCAGAATCAGCCGCCGGGTACAGCAGTAATTTCAGTTATTGCATTCCCGCTTCTCTCTCTCTCTCTCGGGTGAAGATAGCCGTTGACACGATACATGTAAAGTGCGAATCAAACGATTTCTCCGCGCTGTATGGCACGCGTACAGTGAAACTAATAGTCATTCCATTTTCTAATGCTCTGCAATCAGCAGAAATTACCCGACGTTGTTTACTCGGCAAACTGTGTTACAGATTTCGACGTTGATGTTATATTCTAAGCGATCTTTCTCGGCAAGCAAGATATTGCGATTCACGCCTCTCTCTCTCTCTCTCTCAGTGGTCGTTTTTTATATCATCGTACATATTCATGTAATTTTCACAAACATCACCGACTAAGCTCGCGTCAAAAGCGATAATTAAAAATGTCAACTTTGAAACGTGTTTTTATACGAGTTTATCGTGTGTGTTATTTTTCGCAAATTGTGTACCTACTTAATTATTAATTGCACTCACACACACACACAAAGAATGTCGATGTAATTAAGCGTTCTGATTTTGACGCAAGAGATGCGAGAGATCTCGTTATTGTGAGTCAGTTGATTGATGTCGCTCGGCTTGTCTCTCGACGGATTTTGCGAGCCAAAGATGGACGTGGTCACGAGACGCAAGCCAAACGACCACACGCGCGTTCCCGCAACGTCTGCATCGCGTTCCCACAAGCCACGTCTTATCCTCGCTATGTTACCAAGCATGTCAGCTTCTTACCTGACTTTCAAATTGTACGCATTGTTCTCGAACAATTCGGATTTTTCGGGACATTTTGGAATTTTTGGAACAACGTACCTGCTACATTTAAAAAGTTTGCATCAGCAATAATTCTCGAACAAATCTTTTGTGAGCTTTTATAGATTAAAATTTTACACACAGGATTTACTTCTAAACGAAAACTCAGATTGATTTTCATACTCGAAAATTTTGAAAACAAAAGATTGAGTTTAACGTTACGCGGATTCGTGTTTCGATTTCAAATTAAAATCTGGTTTTAGGCAAAGCTTACGAAACAAATCCGAGCGTAATTCGAGCGCTTTTCATCTCGCTTTACAACGGCCCTTGTTCTCTATATTTTGCAGCATGTGGAAAGTCCGCTTCGTCTTCCCCATTACTCTTTGGTCCCCCCCCGTATGTGCCTGGTAGATTTATCGAGCTTGGTTTGCGACGGGCGAAACGCGCGAGGAAGTCGGCGCCGGATTTTGCCGCCAAACTCTAAACGAGCGCGGTCGACGCGGCTCTCTCGGTGAGGTGTGTGCGTGTATACGAGTTGGATATAACTTTCGCGTGAGTGTAAGTTCGTTAGAACAATTTCGCGGCGGGTGGATGTACCGATGCGAGACGCGATGCGACGATGCGGAGGCCGCAGAGCTTCCGACGCGGAAGGTCACACGAGTATACGCGGCTCGTCTATGAATAAATCTCAACGGCGACGAGCCGATATTTACATAGGTGCATTATATCGTTCGGCTTAAGACTAGATGCCCCTCAAATATCGTTTATGCAAACTGACGCGACACGCAGTAAACATTGCGTTATAGATCTGTATAAATAACACTAGAAAATCTAAATGTACGCGTTAAACGCAGATTAAATTTTATTAATATACATGCAACAACACAAACCGAATTCGATATTTTACGATAGAAATGTATTGCATAAATATCGAATTTAGATGCTATATTCTATATTGTTAAATATTTGCCAATATTATATATTCGGTTTGTTATATCAAATCAAATGTATTTTGAATATGCACTTGATACATTTTACTGTAGATAATAGCGAACGAATCGCGCTTTCCGTGTGTGCTTTAGTGTGTTTTAAAAATAAGATTTTATAGTAATAACAATAACGGTCGCGATTTATCTCGATAGATCCACATCCGTTCGAAAATGCATTACATGCTATACAATTTGTGCAAACTAAGAATCACTTTCGCGTGTTTTTTTTTTTTTTTTTACTTTATACATCAATTAATTATATTATTCCCGAAGAAGGAACAATAGAAAAGGCATATCGAAGTTTGCGAAGAAAGTTGGTTTTTTGTGCGGGAGCAATTTGATACACACTGACTGCGAGCCGCGGAAACGGATAGAACGAGCTGAACGGTCGGATAGTTCGCGATAGCTCCGTTGTTTCTGAAACAACACCCGTGAACTGGATCGTAAGAAGGGAAGAGCGCAATCGCAGTCGGACGTGATGCAGTTTACTTCGAGACACCGGTGGCATTCGTGATTCCGTAGATTCTACGGATACATGTTTTCTGCTCATCAATCGATTGCCGTACCGATATTTTACGCTGAATCTGATTACTCATTTGACTTGTGATCGGGTTAATTTCTTTATTTAGAAACTATCAACGTGTAAGTTAGTTTTATTCAATTAGTTCACATATGTTTATGTGTATTAAATTAATACATATAACACAGTGTGTACAGACGTAAACGCGCGCTATTAATTTTTAACATGGACTTTAGAAATTTTTCCACGCGTTTAAAAATAAACTTGGCCGCACTTTTCCTGTTTTCTTTAATTTTAATGAGCGTAAGGAACGAGAGAAATATCTGAGTTATCATTAACCGTGTGTACGGCTTCCGGAATTTTTTTCCTTGATATTTGTCGTCTTTGCTCGTGGTGCTTTTAATGGCTTCTGATGTAGATCGCGGACTTTGCTCATTATAAAGCTCCATTTCTCTCTTTTTTTTATCTTTCTCTCTCTTTCTCTATTTCCCTCGTTGACGTTAATTTCTCTAAATTGATATTTTCCGAACGCTGCTGCGTGTTTTTTCTACGTAATTGCACAAAACTCCAATCTTTGAGATGGGAAAGTCAATTATACAGACTCGATCGTAAACGAATCGAACATAATTTGAATCGTTATCAACAAACGCTGCATATTTCATTTGCGAGTTTAGTAAAAACACGTGAGTCATACGCTGTTTTAAAACTTATTACAATGATCAAAGATGTATCTTTGACATGAAAAATTGGCTCAAATCAGTAAAGTGAGACACACAACATGTCGCGTGTCCGAACTTGCGTTGAAACTGTCGTTATTTCGTTACATCTGTGATGTATACTGATTAAGGTTTTATGTGCGCAATGTCTGGTTCAATTGTTACATTAGTGTAATGTCACGTATGCGTTTAATACTTAATCTTCCTCAATATGCGCACATGATTAAGCCTTAATTTTATACAGCTCATTACTTGTTATAGACGACGAAATTAAAGTTTTGGTGTTTAATATTTAAAAATTTGAGCTAAAATCTTTTGTAAAGTATTATTTTACTTAACGTTTTTACGTTAATCGCGTCGCCGATTTTTCTAATATAGGAAAAACTATTTACTTATTACATAAATACATTGTTTTTTTTTTGTTTAGGAAGAATTAGAACGAAATTGAATATCATTGTCTTTTTTTTGCTTCTGATGCCATACATTGATAATCACAGTGACGGTGTATGACCTAGCATCGGCGACCGATAGGTACGTCGGCAGTTTCTAAATAACATCGATCGAGATTCGTCGGTGCAATTGCAGAAATCCACAGTCCGCGGTCCGTCGCGGCGCCAGTAGTCGTGAAGATATCGAAACAGATCAGTCTGTAGGAAACTCGTCCTCGGATTTCTTCATCCGCCCTTATCCTTTCTCACCTCCGCTATCTCTCCTCCTTCACTCCTCGTCGTCGTCGTCGTCGTCGTCGCTTTTCATCCTCCGTTGGAGGGAATTCACTTCGTCGTAGTCCTCTGAGATTCCAATACGCTTTCAAACACGCTGAGATTACGTCGGAGCTTATGGATTCCTTATCCAATCTTTCGATCAGCGCACTCGGACTCGACGTCTTATGCTCTTAGAGAACCGCGCGCGCGCGTCTACGCGGAAAGCTCGTTCGCGAGAAACTTGATTTTACGTGTCAAACGACGCTAAATTGACCTGAGTCTGATAAACAGCGATGTTCTAAATGGAAAAATGACTTTTTCCCAACACATTATTTTTCCTGATTCTTTATTTCTTTTCTTTCTCGGTACGAAGCTTGTTTGTGATGAGAAGTAATTATATCACTTACATTGCCAAGTCAAAAGCGACTGCTGATTGGAAAATAAATCTACTTATTGTTCTGTAGCTAACGTCATACATTGTCAACAGAGAGATTAAAAAACAAAACCTCTAAAAAACTAATTTTAAAACAGGAAACAGAATTTTTTTACGTGACTACGGTATATAATATTATATATGTATATAGAATCACGTGACCAAATTACGGTACATATATATAATATATATAATATTCTTTTTTTTAATACTTTTTCTTTGTCACGTGACTTTAAT